CCAACCTCAGGTGAGTAAGGGAGAGCAAGAGAGTAAGGGAGAGCAGGAGAATGGTGTCCACAGTGGCCCACACAGCAAGAGGCATTACAAAACAAACAAAAACTAGCAAGCAAGCAAACAAAAACACAAAAAATCCCAAGGGTCAGGGAGGTGGCCAGTGCAGTGCTTGCCCAGGCTGAGAGCACCATCCCAGTATCATCAAAACAGAAAGACAGAGAGAGAGAGGGAGAAAGCAGTCATCTCAGTAGACTACCCTCCAAAATGCCTCGACAGCGAACTTTTCCTTCACTTCAATCTCAATATACCAGCAATTAGTCCATTACTCAATAAATACCAGGTCCTGGGCCTCCTATTAAAATGCAAAGGTAGCAGACTTGACAGAGCCTAGTAGGGGATCTGGTAGCTGAAAACCAGAAAACCATTTGCCTTTCCCCGCATTTTCCCACTACCCTGAGCTGCTGGATTGGTGGTTGTCTCACTTACTCCCAGAAAGCCCAGCTACTGTGGGACAGCAAACAAGGGGTGCAGCTCTCTTGGCTCTGTTGGAACCCCCTGTTAATTTTCTACCCGCCCAGACAATTTCAAAGGCCTTCACACCTCCTCAAAGAGCCCATCAAAAGCCTAAATTTAGTTCATGCAAACCAGGGCAAGCAAGAACATTTAAATCTCAAGGGTCACTCAAGATGAGAACTTCCCAATCTCCGTGTTATATGCTCCCACCCCTCCCATCAAAATGAGTCATGGAGTCTTGACGTGCTCTGCACAAAGTACACTTTTCCCCACTTTGAAGCAGTGGTGTCTAAATATTCTAAGAGCATTTCTTGGAGCATGGCAGTATCAACTCTCTATACCAGTAGGGAATTTAAGGGCATTGCTGATATAACAGGACTTTAACCCAATCAGGTACTGGGTTCTATTTCAGAATGAAGGCAGCTGTAACACGTCAGCTAGAAAAGTCACCTATGGTGGAGCTGTCCTTCCTTCAAGTCAGGAGCTACTGCGGTGGGAGATGCTCCTTATCTGAAACAAATCACTCACTGAAAGTGACAGAATCAAAGAACTGAACACTAGAAAAAACAAAACCCGAGCAGCAAACACCCCCTTCCACTGCTGAAGGAGGGCAGTGTCCCTACAGGCACTCCTTCCCTCTGGTCAGGCATGTTCTCGCCCTGGGCTGGCTATGCCAGTCTCCTTTCTGACCAGTCCTCTCCATGCTCCTTCAGTCTTGCCATTCCTTTGCTAAATGACAGAAAGCCATTCTTACAGCCATTTCCTTATGCAAACAAATCTGACTCCACCGCCCGCCCTGTATCGTAGGCCACCTGGTAACAGTAAAGATTAAAAAGCACCCAGACTGCCTTCCTTCCAGAAGCTGTGCTGCCTGGAGGTGGTATTTTTCCCTAAGCTGCCACCTTCCCCAGCACTCAAAGGTCTGCTTCACCTTTTGTTCTTTGCCCATTTGTCTCAGAGCTTGCAGACTTTGTTGGTCTGAGTAGAAAATAAATCACAATAAGGAACCGATGCTGCCGCCTTGCTTACACAGCTGTAAGCAAAGCTGCACACTCAACTATGACAAGCTCAAATAGGACTTTCGATAATGTTGCCCACTATGACACATCATCAAACATTTATTAAATTTTTTCCCACCAACTGTAAACATATTTCTTTGAACTCAAAAAACAAACAAAACCAAAAAGGTTAGACTAAATTACCCTTTATCTTAGAAAACTAGCTTTAGATTCACTCAAGGGCATTCAAATGCTGGTTTTAAAAATCAACACAATTGAAGCTGGCATGGTGGCACACATTTTTGATCCCAGCACTTTGGAGGCAGAGGCAGGCAGATTTCTGAGTTCGAGGCCAACCTGGTCTACAAATCGAGCTCTGGGACTGTTACATAGGAGGAAAAACAAAACGACAAAATAAAACAACAACAACAAAAAGTTCACAGCTGTAAGACAGAAGGCTACTTTTAAAATGTAAAACAGGGGAGCACTTCCAGAACCATCTTAGAAACTATCCCAGCACTTGGGAGGCAGAGGCAGGTGGATTTCTGAGCTTGAGACCAGCCTGGTCTACAGAGTGAGTTCTAGGGGACAGCCAGGGCTACACAGAGAAACCCTGTCTCGGAAAACAAAACAAAACAAAACAAAACAAAACAAAACAAAAAAACTACAAATATGCAGGGTGGCACACTCCTTTAATCCCTGCATTCCAGAAGCAGAGGCAGAGGCAGGAGGATCTCCATGAGTACAAGGCCAGCCTGGTCTACAGAGCAAGTTCCAGGACAGCCAAGACTACATAGACAAACCTTGTCTCGAGAAACAAACAAACAAACAAAAAAGAAGACGAAGAAGAGAGAGAGAATATCATATTCATACTAGGAAAGCCCAAGGGTGCAAGCCCTTGTGACAGGCTGCACAGACCCTGACGGCTCACGTGTGGGGCTTACTAACAGCTTACAGAGTGTGGAGTAGAAACTGGAGAAGAGTGAGAGAAACAGATGTCAAAGCCAGCCCGCTCTGCGCCAACAACACTCTTAACACAACTGTAACAAGGCTTCGATGTCCGGGCAGGCCACTCTGACCTAAAAGCGTAAAAAAACACATTCTACCATAACTAATTTATGATGCAAATTTGTTACCAAATCAGTCTGTTTCAGTATTAAAGATTCAACTGTCTCCACTTGGGATGGTCTCTCTAGCTGACAACCTCCGTGCTTCAGAGTGGCTTACAAAGCAATCTTCATGTGCTGTTGTTACACTGGGATCCTCTTGCATTTTATCTGACATAGAGAATCTGCCCACAGATCTGACTCCTTAGTGGAATCTGTCCAGCCAATTTAGAGACTAGATGTGCAATACAAATGTTACTATTGATCGCTCTACTTAGGCAGATTACACTAGCTATAAATATCAGCCCCCAAAAAGCTGCCGTACATCAAGGCCCAAGTAAAAAGAACCCTGTCAAGGAATCTGGAAATCAAGGCCATCCCAAAAAAGGTTTTGTCAGTCAAGAACACTGAACAACAGCCTGAGGCTTTCAACTGTCCTAAGAGAAGCTCAAAATAGACTTCAATTCTCCAGCTGATGGGTCTCACCCGCTGTCTTTTGAGCCTATAAGCTGAAAGTAGAATTTAACGGCCTGTTCTCTTTACAAAAGGAACGGGATCTATTTTGCACATGCTTATTTAAGATGCCTGGCGAGTGTGGTTTTGGTTAATCCTCACAACCCCCGCACTGACATTTAATCAGACTTATTTTCTTTAGAGGACTTAGCTGCTTGTAAAGACATCTTTGCCTTTTCAATTCACTGTTTCATACATGGAGGGGGACCTACTTTCATAATTATTTATGAACCACCAGAACCCCTCAAGTGGACCGGATCTCAGAAAACAGAAACTATCTCAGCCCACGATCAAAGGATAAAAGACAAGGAAAGAGGCCATTTAGAGACGGTCAGGCAACTATAGGAACGGATTCTGTCTGTATCACCCTAGTTAAGTCACCTAACCTCATGGCTAGCCACTCCTTGGTCTATTCAAAGAACAAGTCCCTAGCAGCCCGGCCGGTGATCCCCTCGACAAGGCAGCAGATCATTTGAGTATAGTCACGCTCCACCAGAACAGGTCTTTCTCGTCTCAACACTTGTCACCAGCTGCAATGATCTGTATTTGAGTGTATGTGTGACTTCAAGCCTCTCCGGGGGTAGGGTGAGTCTACGGTGGCGTTGAACACACACCATCTCCAACGCCTAGCACCGAACAGACCCTCCAGCTGACGTCTAACAAATGAATGGACAGGAAGGAGTAACAGGACTGTCATCCTGGGGCCTCCACGACCGCACACCCAGGTCTGAGGAAGTGAAATGTGCGGGGGCTGGGGATGTCGGCGAGCCCACTCTCCTCTCCAGAAGACAAAGGAAGAGGGCCTGAGGTGGTCCGGTCCCGACAAGGAAGCGGCAGGGGTGTGGACCAGCGGGGACAAAGGGTGGCTGGGCCATGTTGGGGTCGGGTGGGGGGGGCTCGGAGAAGACACGGACCGCGGAGAGATATAGGCGAGTGGGGGTGTCGCAAGGGCCGCGAGCCCCACGCGGGGTCTAGGGCGGCGAGGACGCGCGACAGGGGTCCCCTGAGCCGGGAGGGTCGGGGAGACGGCGCGGCCTAGGGGCCCCCGGCTCCGCACCTGGTAAATAGCCGCCCAGTTCCCAGCCTTGTCGATCTGCTCGAACTCCTTCTCCATTTCCATGGCGGGACGGGTCGGCTGCCCGAGTTCCCTCGGCCGTCCGCCGCGCTAGGCCGCGTCGCTCCGCGTCCCGAGGCCCGTCGCCCGCCACCACCGCAGCCCCAACCTCCCCAGCAGCGGCTTCTGCATGTCAAGCCGGCAGCCGGAAGTACGCACCCCCGCCTCGCCGCGAGCTCCGCCCTCTCTACCGGAGGACCAGTCAGATAGCGAATAGGCTTGCCGGCACTTCCGCGGGGGCGGGACGGGGGCGGGGCTTAGTGGGAGAGGCCTGAGCGAAGGAGATGACCTGCTGCGCGCGCCGTGTGCCGCTTCCCGGGTTCCGCGCTCCGGCGGGCACGCGCCCGTTGCCCAAGCGACCCCCGGCGGCGCGCCCACGGCTCGTGGGCCAAGGCGGGACTGGGGGAGTATCTTGAGTTCGAGCCTCAAGCCGGCCGGTTGAGTCAGGCGGCGAGGGCGTGGCCTCGAGCTGGGCGGTTGAGTGGGAGCGGCGTTTCCTGTCCCGTTCTTTCTGTTTTTCTTTTTTTTTCTTCATTTTTTTTTTTTTTTGTCTTGGTTTTTTCGAGACAGGGTTTCTTTTCGTAACCCTGGATGAACTCAAACTCGCTCTGTAGACCAAGTTTGGCCTCGAACCCCCGCTGCCTCTTTTCCCGAGTTCTGGGGTTAAAGGTGTGTGCCATCACTTCGGGCTCCGTTCTTTATTTTTAACTCAGGGTCACGCTATTCCAGGCTGGCCTCCCACTTGCTGTCAGGCCAAGGATGATTCTCTTGCCTCCACCTCCCACGTCTTGGAATCAAAGACATGCATTGTGGGGGATAAACCAGACCTCCATGCGTGCTAGGACACACTCAGGCCACATCCCAGCAAGCAGAGTGGTTTTTTTTTGTTTTGTTTGGTTTTTTTGTTTTTTTTTTAGACAAATGAATCATTCTGTAGCCCGAGCTGTCCTGGAATACACTACGTAGTCAAGGCCAGCCTCCAACTCCAGGTCTGCCTGCCTCAGTCTCCCAAGTTTTAGACAAAGCTAACACCCAGCTGCCCACCCTGCTTTCCTGAAACTTGGGAAAGTCCATCAAATTTTTACCCTAGCAGTATGAACCGATGGGACATGTGGTGCTAGTTTTCTGTCTTTCTGCAGTATCAAGAAAATCCTGACCAAGTGTGGTGGCATTTGCCTTTAATCTCTTTTCTATTCTCCAGGCAGAGGCAAAGGGTCTCTGAGTTCCAGGCCAGCTTGGTCTTCATAGTGAGTTCTGGGACAGCCTGTTACACAGTGAGACCTTATCTCAAAACAAAAAAACAACAAAAAAGGAGGAAAAAAAAATCTTCCTTGGGGCTTGAAGGTGGCTCATAACTCCAGTTCCAGGCTCTCTTTCTGATCTTCAAGGGCACAGGGCATACCTGTGATACCGTACTATTGTATATACATGCATACAAAACCGTCATACAAATAAATCTAAAGACATATTTAAAAGAAGAAACACTCTTCCTCACTGAAATCTTTGGGGATGCAGACTGTGTGGTATGTTCAGAATGTCCAGGGTGAGCATCGAGTGTTGATTCTGGTGCGTGAACTCCTTGAAGTGGATGTGAAGGGTGGGATTGCCTTCCCTGGGGAAACGTAACTGGAACTTGGAGTTGTAAACATTCATTCTGGGGTCAACATGGAGTAGAAGGGGAGACTTGGGTGGAATCAGTGTCCTGTGCCCAGTGCCAGCTCCTGGTGTGACAATGACTTCCAGCTTGCTCTTGGGGTGCTGTGGTAGGCGAAGGCCCTGTGTTCATTTATTCCCCACAGCCATCCTCACAGAGGCATTTTGATTCCCATCTTAGGGCTGACAAGAGCAAAGCACAGAGACAAAGCACTTGTCCAAGGTAGCATTCCCAAGCAGGGCTGGCAGCTAAACATGTCTGTAATCTTAGCCTTTGAGAAGCTGAGGCAGGAGGCTCATGGAGAATTCGAGGCCAGCCTTGTCTACATGTTAAGTTCCTGGTACAGAGTAAAAAAGAAACCCTGTCTCAAAAAGCCACAAACAAAGCCGTCTTGCAAATGGGAGAGGAGGCTGGGTTCCAGCCTGACCTGTCGAGGGTTTCCTGAATAGGAGCCAGGCTGCTGGGGGTGCTAGACTTGGGTTCTAAGACCCATGATGCAGCTGGGAGTAGATTCCTGTTAAAGCTCTTCACCTTGGTTTTCTCCACTGTGAAAGAAAGGTAAGCCTGCCTACCTCATAAGAGGGCTTATTGTATCGAGGGGCTCAGTCACTTTTCAAGAAGTAGCAAATGAGTAGGTAGATTTATTTGTTCCCATTAAATTAACTATATGTGCACCACAGGACACGTTTTGAGGTCAGAGGACAACTTGCTAGAGTCGATTTTTCTCCTCTCATTATGTAAAACCCAGGGATTCAAACTCAAGTCCTTAAACTTGGCAGCAAGCAGCTTTACCCAGGGAGCGGTCTGGTCTGATGATTAAACAACACCCTTAGAAATAGAGTAACTCAAGCCGGGTGGTGGTGGCGCACGCCTTTAATCCCAGCACTTGGGAGGCAGAGGCAGGCGGATTTCTGAGTTCGAGAGTTCGAGACTAGCCTGGTCTACAGAGTGAGTCCAGGACAGCCAGGGCTATACAGAGAAACCCTGTCTCAAAAAAACCAAACCACAGGAAAAAAAAAAAAAAAAAGAAATAGAGTAACTCCACTAAGAAAAGTACAGCTGACCATACTGGTGAGAATTTGGAGACCCCATACTTGGAGGTTGCCTAATTGAAGTAGTTGCCTATGTAAGCGTCTCTGGGCAGGTGGGGTCCCAGTATACCAAGCTAAGTGCCCATCCTGAGCTCAGATGTTACCCAGGCTTGCCCAGGGCTCCTCCCCCTCCCCCAGTGACTGGACCCCCTCCTGTCATTTTCTTTCTTGCCATGCTCAGGGCGGAGCTCAGGGCCCTGACGATCCTTGGCAGCCACTCTCACTCTGAACTTCATACCCCGGCCCCTCTTTTTATTTGTTCTTTGACACAGTTTCACTAAAGTGTCTCCGCAGGCCTTGAACTTTTGATCCTCCAGCCTCAGCCTCCTGAATCGCTGGGATGACAGGCTTGTGCCACCAAGCCTGGTTGGTCACTGTTCACAGGCTCCAGAGTTGACTGGGTGGTGGTACTCCCCAGGCACGGGGCCCTTCTCTGCCTCTTCCAGCTCCGACAGGCTGTCTGTCCTTGGCTGTAGCTCATCACTCTTGCCTTACTTTCACACGGCCTCTCTACCTCCTCCTGTCTGACAAGCCTTTCTATTCTGTAAGAACACTTGTCATTGTGTCCCAGATGTAAGTGGCCAGTCCAGTAGATCCAGATCTCCTCCTGAGGCCCCTAAGTCAATGACATTTGCAAAGACTCCTTTCTCAAATGAGGTCACATTAGTGACGTGACTTCTTAGGGGCCCCACCTGACCCACTGAAGTGGCAGCAGACAGTGAACCCCATGAGAAGTACTAACCCTGAAGGAGAGGCCAAGCACCAGGGTCTCACATCCACTATCTGTATATCAGCACCAGATATGGTGATGCCGACCAGAAGAAAATGCTGGCTTTTCACTGCTTAGGAAAAAACCCTGGTCCAGGGCTGGAGAGATGGCTCTTTGGTTAGAAGCACTGACTGCTCTTGCAGAGGACCACTGTTTGGTTCCCAGCACCCACAAAACGGCTCACAATCGTAATTCCAGTTCTGGGGGATCAATGCCTCTTCAGGCACACGTGTGAATACACATACTCTCACACACGTATACATTTGTGCACACAGGTGCATGCTTACGCACTCGAACATGTACACAGGCATTCACGTGCACACCAAAAATAGGTGTGGACACACAAAACAGGCACACTCAGACATGTGCACACACATGCCACATGCACACACAAAATACAAATAAATAAATGTGTATATTTTTAAAAAAAGAAAAAAGATCCATTCCTAGCCCTGGTCCCCATACCCAGATGACCCTGGTGAGGTCATCTGCCTCTCCTCTCTCTCCATTGTCTGCGTCCTTCCTTTTTTGGGCCCCTTCGCAGTATGTGTGGCTGGCTTTCACCAGAGGATCTTTGTGCCATCCAGTCCTGACCAGTCCTGACCAGGGGCCTCTGCTTGTGTGTCATCGCTCCAAGTCTCAGGTTGAGTGTCACCTGCCTGGGGAGGGGACGCCTCCTGTCCTCTGCTGTGCTTGTTTGCTTGCTTGCCTCCTGGCAGTCCTGTTCCGTTAGGGCAGAACCTCTCCTTCCCCATGTTCCAAGTACCTGACATTTGCTGAGAACAGAGATTTCTATGACCTAAGTGTCAGCTCCGCTCTGCCCCTCAAGCCCTCTGGACAAACCCGGCCCTGCCCAGGAGGTCCCTTGAACCTGACTATGGCCAAGGCTGATTAAAAAGTAAACAATGCAGCCCTGTGTGGCAGGCAAGCCTGCGAAATGCTCCAATGTCCTCACTCAGGTTACGGACTTTCTCTTTGTACACTCTACTAAGGCAGCAGTTCGCAACCTGTGGGTCAAAACCCCTTTGTAGAGGTCACCTAAGGCCATAGGAAAACACAGATATTTACATTACGATTGATAACGGTAACAAAATTACAGTTAAAAAGTAGCAACGAAAATAATTTTTTGGCTAGGGGTCACCACGGCATGAGGAACTGAGGGTCCCAGCATTAGGAAAGTCGAGAGCCACTACACTAAGGGGTGAAGTCGCTACTCTAAGTCAGTGATCAGTCAACTTTTTAATCATCCCAGGACTTCAGGTAGAGCAGGAAAGCTGTTTTCAAAGCATGGGGCTGTTGCTAACCCCTGACTGAACAAGGTCAGCAAGTGGTCCAGTCGGAGACATCAGCCTACGAGTAGCACAGCCTAGAGCTTAGGATCTAAGGTAACTGACAAGCTAGGATTCTAATATCACTTCATCTAGGACATCCCTGCTCCTCTCCTGAGAACTCCCCCCACACCCCACCCCATCCTTTTACTACGTGCCACAATGCTACACGTCTGCTTGATGTGTTTGTCATCTCTTGGCCACTAACTGTAAACGTTGTGAATAAGTGGGGCTGGGTTGT